TGATCCTTGTTGTAGTGACATGAAATTGATTTTTGCTACTCTTTTTTAATTATTTTTTCCAAATGTAGTTGTAAATACTTTCAAAAATGAATTCAAATCATATAATAGTTGTGAATCTTTTTCTATCAAAGATGCAAATCAAGAGTGAACACTTTTTGATAGAAGTGTATTTATAAATCTAACTTGATTAAATCTATTGAGGTATGGATAAAGATGCAAACTTAAATAAAACTTAACTTGTTACAAAAATCCTTGAAATTTTGATCTTGTTCCATCAAACTTCTTGGGCATACTAATCTTTTCTTCTCTTATATTTGTAGAAACAAGACTTCTTAAATTTAGTTCCAAGGTTGATCTACTTGCTTCTTTCAACTGCACAACTTCTTAGTATAGATTCTTGATTTTTTCATATATGTAAGAATAGTACCTCTATCATTCATGTTAGAAATATATGTAATTTTTATTCTTAGATTTTTGACAAGCTTGTAGAGATTTGTAATAGTTGTAAATCTACTCTCACTTTTGATGAGAATAGCATCCAAAATCTATACTTCTATAGACAACTCAAACAAGCTCAAAAAATTAAATTAGAGGATGGTAATATGTAATCTCTAATATCAAATAAAAATTTCTATAAAGAAAGATTATTTACTTTATTTAAGAAAAAAATCAATTTTAAAAAACTAATTTATTTATTTAAAAATAGATAGTCCATAACCTTCAAGATATAATAATACAAGTGATATAATCTACTTATTTTTAAAACATGACAAGAACAATAAGTTAGTACTCTTATCATACTATCAAGGACATGAATCTTGAAGAAAAAAATCCTCAATAAACTCTTGTGTCACTCAAAAGAATTAAAAAATCACTTAAAGATGATATAATATTAAACTAAAATAGCTATTATTATTAATAAGAAGATTAGAGAGTCCTAAAATAAAACTAAAGACTAAAAAAGTATTTATAAGAATGAAAAAGGATTCACTCCTATCTCTATATATACTCTCTAACTAAAAGCTATATGGCAATATACTATAAGACCTCCAACACGTGTTGACTTTGCTAGACACATGTCTTAATTTATAAGGTAAGTTATTTATATATAGGCCATATAATTAGTTTGTTCCATAAACAACTAACACATTATCATGTAGTAATATGACTATATAGTAAAAAATAAAAATATGGATGTTATTATAGAAGAAATTAGTAAAAATATGTAGTAAAAAAATAAAGATAAATGATAGAATAATAATAAAATATTTACTCTTAATGTTGTCTTTTATAAAAGGATCTTTTATTTACTTTATGAAGGCATGAATGAGCCAAATCAAAGTAAATGCGATAAGATATTTATTATAGACATATCTAAAAAAAATTAATAATAGGTTAAATTAAAATTTACTTCAAATTATTAAAAATTGATACCTGGAGAGGACTTGTCAATCTAGATTGAAATCAAACCCTAAGACATAAAACTACTTATCTATGGCAATTCAAGGATTCTTTTATATATTAAAGAATAGGATTTTAGAGTAAACTTGATGAGAGATTTTTGGATATTAGTTTCATTTTATTTGGATTAATATTAATATTTTTAGGAATTTTAAAAATTAATAATTTTTTTGGTGGATTTAGATTTTGTAAAATAAAACCATGTTTACAAATTTGAAGGTTTCTTGAATTTTGTAGCATGCATACAAATGAAATTTGGAAAATTTGTTGGTGTGCTTGTTGTAAATACATATACAAAATTTAAAGTCAATCAAGAAATTAAATTGAAGCATATGAGGATTTTTGTGGAATATAGTCTCAAAAATTTGTGACTTAGGATCATTGATTGATTCTAAGTTCTAATAATATCTGCTAGTTGGATTGAAGCAAAATTTAGAGAACTTACTTAAGACTCAAATATCTACAAACGATCCAATTTTTGGAGCAATTGAACAATTCAGCAAGGAGAAGTTGATGTTGAAAGATTAGCATTCAAGTTGGAAAAGGATGGTGACCAATAACCAAGAGGTTTTGAGAACTTTTCTTATAATTGGTAAGTTTGATTTTTTTCAAACTTTGTATGCTTGTTAATTTTTTATTGGTTGAAGTCTAAATGTTTTTTATTTAAGATCTATAATTCAATTATTATTTATTGAGGTTTCAAATACATATAATAATTGATAGAAATTTATTTGGAATTTTTTTGGAATTGTTTGGGATTTTGGATTTCATTAGGATTTGATCTAAGATTTAAATAAGGTTCATTAGGATTTCAATTAGGATTTCAATTGAAATTTGATCTTAAGTTTGGTTAAGGTTCATTAGGATTTTAATTAGGGTTTTAATTAAAATTTGATCTTAAATTTGGTTAAGATTCATTAGGATTTTAATTAGGATTTTAATTGAAATTTGTTCTTAAATTTGGTTAAGATTTATTAGGATTTCAATTATGGTTAAATTACAATTAGTCAAAATTTATTTATTTTTTAATTTTTTATTTTTAGTATTTTAAAATATTCTTGATTATTTCTTTATCAAACTTTTATTTATCAATTTTTTTAAAGATTTTTTTTATTTCTTAAAGATTTTATTTTTATATTTTTTCTTGAAGTTCTTTTATTATATTTTTTTGAGGTTAAATTATGACATATTTGTGTTTCTTTTGTAAATTATTTTTATTTTATTTTGAGTGATTAAAATTTAGTTGGGATTATTAAAGATTACTTGAAGTTTATTTAAGGCTCTATCAGACTTGGTAAAATTATTGTTACATTTCTACTTACCTTCCTTTAGTTAAGTGGCCAATATTGTGATATAACATGGCTAATGAATAAAAGAGAAAAGAAAATATTATATTATAAAAGATCTTATTTTAAAATATTGTAGAAAATTATCTTAAAAATATAAACAATAGTCAAAAAGATAATAAAACTAAAATAAATTAATGATGTCTTTTTATAAAATGGGCTTCTACTTACTTTGTAGGACCATAAATAATACAAAACAAAGTAGATTAAAAAATTAAATAGTATAAGCATGTGAAGGAGAGAATTAAAAGTAGATTTTAGTAAAATTCACCTCAAGAAGGCAAGAATTAATATCCAAAGAAGACCAATTGCCAACCTAGATCAAAATCAAATCCCAAGGCACAAAACCTTGTATCTATGATGACTTAAGGATTCTTTGGTATATTAGAAAGTGAAATTTTGAGAAAAAATTTGAGGAGAGATTTTCAAGCATTAGTTTTATATCATTTAAATCAATATCAAGATTTTGAAGGATTTTTAAAATTAGTAATATTCTTGATGGGATTAAGATTTGAAAAATAAAAATATGTTTACAAATTTGAAGATTTCTTAAGTTTTGTAATGTATATATGGGTGAAATTTGGATATTATGTTGGTGTGCTAGTTGTAAATGTATATGCAAATTTTGAAGTTAATCAAATGGTTAGATTGAAATATATGAGGATAATTATATGTTGAAGTCTCAAAAATTAGAGTTTGAAGATTAATAAGTATTTCTAAGAACTTTAGCAATTTGTGAATTGAATTGAAGTGATTTTTTTTTGTATGGATACTAGACTCAATTTTCAATATTTAAGTGAAATTTAAACGCCATTCAATGGTTCAAGAAGGAGATATTGGCACTGAAAGTTTAGCATTTAGGTTGAGATAGAAGGACACCGAACATCCAATTGGATTATCTTGCATTTCTCTCAATTGGCAAGTGCAATCAATTTCATCTTTCTTGTGTTTTTTTGTAACTAAGATATCAAAAAGTGTGCAAAATTTGAGTTGATATCAATGGTTCAATCATTAGTTGTCAAAGTTCTATTTTATTATAAAGTTTGTTAAGCATTTGGTTAGGATTAGATTTTACTTAGAATTTGATTTAAAACTTAACTAGGATTTGATTAGGATTTTTCTAAGGTTTGTCTAAGGTTTGTCTAGGATTTAGGATTTCATTAGGATTTGATCTAAGATTTGATTAAGGCTCAATGAGGATTTTGATTAAGATTTGACCTAAGATTTGACCTAAGATTTGGTTAAGATTTAATTAGGATTTTAATTAGAATTATATTAGGATTTTTATTTTTAGTATTTATATAGGATTTTTATATTTCTATTTTTAGTATTTCTTTAAGATTATTATTATTTCTTTTATTTCTTTAAGATTTATTGTCATTTTTTTTTAGATTAAATCATGATTTTTTTTTCTTTTTTTTTTTGTGACTTTTTTAAATTTTATTTCAATAGGTTAAAGTTTGATTGGATTTATTAGGGATTACTTGAAGTTTATTTAAGGCTCTATTAGACTTCATAGAATTATTGTTGTATTTTTATTTACCTTCTATAACTAGGTGCCTAGTGCATTCTCAAATAAGAACACACATAATACAACAATATGCGATACATGGCTAACTTGTTGACCATGGTAAGCTAGAAACTTGGCCAGAAAATTACAATGTGTCCACAAAATAATGCATCCACCTTCATCCTCACTAGCATTCAAGCATCCTCACTAGCATTCAAGCATCCTCACTAGCATTCAAGCATCCTCACTAGCATTCAAGCATCCTCACTAGCATTCAAGCATCCTCATCGAGTCCTGAGGGTATATCATGTGTGCCTAATTTTTCACTTATTTATAGTTAAAATTGGAAAGTTTTCTTCTTTAGTAAGATTGCAACCTGCAACGTAAATTGGCAAGTTGGTCAATTGCAGGATTGACCTCAAGCTCCTTGCATGTTCTCTTCAGAAGGATCTTATTGCACGATTGAACCACATGCGAATCACTAGTCTCAAAGTGGATCCTAGTCAAGCAACTAGGTCTTGTTTCCCAAGGGCCGGTTATTCGCGGCTAGTGTTTACATCTGAAGCAAATCTGGTCGTTGCCTCCATGAGACTTGCAGCCGGTCCACCAATACTCCAGGTCACCCGTGGTGGTGGGGTTCAATAGCAGACGAGAAACTTCTCCAATGCAGAACGAAGGTATCTAACCCACTGGTGATTATGGTAGCGTTGCTGGTGTGCTAGGCGCAACAATTTTTGTTGTGAAATTCTTCAATTCTCCTCTCCCGTTTGCCTCGGTTCTGTTGTTTTCCTCACTTTGGATTCTGTTCCGGTGCGTGGTTGCTGATGACTGCCGGGTTTGTGGTTTCTCTCGAAGTTGTTGTCGTTGGGTCTGTGGGCGGTGCAGTTGGCAGTTCTTCTCTATGGAAATTTATTCGTTTTTAAATTATTAATAGTTTTTTCATTTGGGGTTTGCACGTAGGCTGATCTGAGAATTCGAATCAGTATCTGTGGTGTCGGGTTTTTGAAGTTGTTCTCTGGTGATTTACGCTGAGTGGGAGTGGTGAAAGACAGTTATATTTTCTGAGCCAGAGAGCCTGTTGGTTTGCCGCGGTTATTTGTGTTTTGAATATCTTGGTTATCTTGTTGTGGGGGAGTGAGTTTTCGCTCGTTTTAGGGCGTAGCGGCATAAGTGAATGTGCTCTGGTTGTGGCGGTGATGCAGAGGTGAAGGAGATTGCTATTTGAGTGAAAGTTGGTCAGTGTTCATTTTTTTTAATTTTTTATGTTTTCACATTTTCCGCTACGCCATAAGTGTTCAGCATAAGAGAAGGGTGAAAATGCCAGCTTCAGCAACATGGGCTCGGCCCGAAGATCTTGTGGAAGGATTAAGCTCTCTAGACAACACGGCCAGACTCAAGGCGCTGCGGGATGTGAAGAATCAAATAATTGGAAACAAGACCAAAAAGCTTTCCTACATAAAGCTGGGGGCCGTGCCGCGGGTGGTGGAGATTTTGGCAAGCGACACAGACATTCCGCTGTTGGTGCAGTCAGCTGCCGCCGTGGGAAGTTTTGCATGTGGGACTGATGCGGGAGTGAGGGCTGTCCTAGACAGCGGCGTGTTGCCACATCTGCTAAAAATGTTGCAAAATGGAGACACCAAGGTACTACTATCAACACAATCAATCTCTCATTCTTTTGTATTTTTTGGCTCACGGTTTGTACACCTTTGCTTTTGAAAACCTAAATATGTCAAACAAAGTTTTTTCAAATTTTTTTTGATGCATTGTAAGTTCTGCCATTATTTCGCAAGTATGTTGAGGGGTTTTCGTCCTGCAAGCGGTGTACGAGAAGGCTTCCTCTAACAGTGTTACCGAGTGCTCGATGAATCAATATTAGGTTTTTCGTTTTGGTCTACGCAGGATGTGCTTTACTGGGACACGATTCGGTCATTCTTTGTATAATTGAAGTTGGGAATAATCTCTACCAATTCTTTGACAATTCTATACTGCCCAGGTTGCGGAAACTTGTGCTCGCGCACTTAAAATGATCTTTCACTCGCCTTTGGCTCCAAAGAGCGATATGTTTCAAGGACATCGCATGGAACTTCTATTACAGCTTCTGAATCATGATAACGAGAGTGTATCAGAAGTTGCAGCTCGTGTTCTTGCTAGGTGTTGTGAAACCAAGGAGCACCAGCAAGCGCTTGCGGACGCTGGTGGCCTTCAGAGCCTTGTGAACCTCTTGGCAGGAACTATTAAAATTCGAGAAGCTGCTCTCGATGCATTGGCAGCGTTAACGAAATGCAATGAACAGCTGTCAGAAAAATTAATCAAGATGAACAATGGGGATTCTTTGGCTTCAATCATTAGGCTTATTAAATATAAGTCTCCTTTAACGCGATTGCTGGCATGTATGTGCTTGGCAAACGTTGGAAAGGCTTGTTCTGCTGGTTACGCTCAAGAGGCTGAAGTTCGAGCCAGTATGTTGGGCATCTTGATGAAGCTGTTGGAAGTTCCTGGTCAAGTTGGACAGGATGCTCCAGGTATTTTATGATCCAGAAAATTAACGTTTATGTGATCAAGGGTTTAGATTTTTCAAAGTTAACGTTTGGCTTGTTATGAGCTATTCATTTACATGAAGTCCAGTTTGAAAGATGCGTTATCTATAACAACACATTCAAGTAAGTTATTCAAAATTTTAGCACAGGTTTTAGGTCTCACTTTTTATCCATTGCCCCTTATAACCAATGATACAGTTGTGTCAGAATTTGCTTCAAAAATAGTGTCTATTCCCTTTTAACACTCGGTACGTGTATCAGGTGTACTAGCTGATTTAGTGGCAAATAATGAAGAGTTGCAGAAAACTGCGGCTGATCAGAATGCAGTTGAAAAATTAGCCGAATTCCTTCTTCGGGAGGAAGTTCCTTCAAAACAGCTGGAGGGAGTGCTATGGGGGCTTAGTGAACTCTGTTCTGAACTCGAGGAGAGCCGACGGCAGCTTTTGGAATTGCAGGTGAGAGTTATTACTGTACTGTTGTTAGCCCAAAGGTGTGACTGTTGTGTTGGGGTGATATTCGGAATGAGTCGAACACTGCAACGAGATTTCTTGCCTAGCCTCATTTTCTCTATTGAAACCATCCAATCATATAGACGTGTTGTATACCTCAGACTCACCCTGTTTCCACCTCCATGCTATTGTTGTATGACTCACTTGGAAGTTAAATTGGTAAATTACGTAGGAATTCGGAGTAGATGGTCGTGTAGGACTAATTAAGGTGGGGCTGGGTGGTGTTAGGTCTGGAAAGTTTAAAATCCTCGTTGGCTTTGGCTGCCCCATTGGTGCTCCGTTCATTGGTTAGTCATCCCTTTGGGTTCTTTCGTAGTGTTAGCTTATGTACTTCTAATTTGTTCCAGTTAGCTCCTTTCTACCGTCGATTTCGATTTTCTTTTTTTCTTTTGCTTCTCAAAAGCTTCTGCCCTTGGGTATATGTGACTAGATTACTCTCAGAGGTAGTTTCTTTATCACAAACCACAAGAAGTGAACTTTCAGTAGATTTGGTCGATACAATGATGTATAACTTACGGTCAAATTTGCTATGATATTTGGTAGTTCTGACTTTGAACAATGATGATGTCTTGCAGGTACAAGGGTCTCTTGTCGCAGCTTTGGTTCATCCTTGTGAAGGGGTTAAGGTGGCCGCATGTTCTTGCATTACTAGTCTCTCTCGGTCAGTCAAGGTTGGTTGTGTTACACCTATTTTAAATAAGGTTGATTCTTGATTCGGCAGGGTGTAATATAAACAGTGGTGTTTTTGATGGTTGTTAACTTGCTTCAAGTGCTCTTTTTGAGGAAACGATCAAATAAAATAAGCAGATTTGCCTCCTTCCTTTGTTTAGAATTTTTCAAATTTTAGTCGTCTTATAACAAGCAGTATCCCGAATAAAGCCAGTCCTGATGGATATTAGACACAGAGATGTTAGCATTTCAGGTATGAATCTTCGACTATTGATATTTCCAGCAGAAGCTGAGAATTTACGTGTCTCTGTGTTATGTTTGTAACAGAATCTGCGCACTAGCTTGGCAACTGAGCAATTTGTTCGGCCTTTACTTCAACTTTTGAATGATCCTTGTCCAGCAGTTCAGGTAGCACAAAGTTTGTGCGAGGTTTTCATTGAAGGACAAAAGAAAATATGTTTCCACGGAAATTGAGTTTCAAGCACATGCAGTTTTAATTCACCTTCCTTCGATACTTTGTTAGTTACGATTATCACTTATTCTTGATTCCCATCGGGAAACATCTGTTGGAGCTGTTGTGCCTCAACCAGGACTCAACGTTCTTGCTTTGCTGTTCTGCAGGTTGAAGCCTTGACTGCTGTTGGAAATGTAGTCCTTGATTTCACTCCACAAAAGTTGGTGTTCATGCAAACTAATGGCGTTACTCAGCTCATAAATCTTGCACTATCTATGGAACATACTCTCAGACGGAATGCAGTTTTGGCTTTGAAGAATTTGTTGTTCATGGCGGACATCACAATGAAGCGTCGGGTGATGGATGAGCTAACAGTTTCCACTTTGTGTGACCTAATTCGAGGTAAATCGTGATTCTCTTCGCGCATTGCTTTTGCTTTCTGAAATTCGCCGGTGTCGCTAATGTTCACCAAGAAGAAGCAAATCAGCAGATTCCCTTTAAATTCAAGGAATTTAACTGCCTAAGGTACAGCGTGAGCAAATTCTGAATATTTTCACTTTAGTTGAATGTGGCTGAAATGATTTGGCTCATGATTGTGCAGACCCCGAAGAGGAAGTGCAGGAGCAAGCAGTCTCTCTTCTGCGAAATCTTGTTCACGGGGATCCAGGTTTTGTTGATCAAATCTTTCCTGATGGAAGCATATTATTTCAGGCCATAGAGAAGCAGCTCATCAATCCTCGTCCTCAGATATCTATACAGGTTTGATTTTTTGGCGCCTTTCCCTTTATTGGTGCTGATCCTTGGCAGGTTGTTGATGAAAGTTTTGTCCATATTAGAAATTTTATGAAGGCGAAGTGGATCACCGGTGTAGATTTACCTGAAGTTGTGGCTTTATTCTGTGTCTTCGTCGAGAGATGACTAGAAAATGAGGAGTCCCTGTGGTCGAGATTAGGATGAAGGATAAGTGGCTGTATAGTCATGGTGGTGATCCTCCGTTTCTTCGTTTAGGCCCTCTATGTAATGAACAATTTAGCATGTGGAAGCGAGGTGCACAAGGAGTCGGTTCTGGCATCAATCCTTCGTTCTCAATCGGCAAACGACACTTCCTGGCTTTCTCATTTTCTGCAAGACACGAGCAACCCTCAGCTCAGAGTTGTAGCTGTGGTGTGTATCAACAACTTATTGGACCCTGCTGGAGATGGTATTAGCTCGCGTATGGTGAGGCTACGGGAAGCAGGGGTGGAGACACAGCTGCGCAAGATGGTAGATGATACATGTTTGGACGTCAAAGTAATGTTCTTGTTCATCTTGTTCTTCATCTTTTCATTGATTTTTTGGCATCGCTATTTTCTTTGAAAATCAATTCATGACAGCCTTCGAATATGTTCGAGTTTGCCTGCCGTTGATACTATATAATGTTTAATTGATTTGCAGTCGGTAGGATTGGAGTCTTATAATTAACGGTCGTTGGTTTTTCAGTATCACGTAAAAGCAGTTTTGGAATGCTTCACACCTTCCATTGTTACATTTCCGGAACATTAATTTGTGCTTACGAGGGCAGCGCTTCACGCAGCTGACGGAACTTTCAGCATCCTCCTTTACATGAATTCACTATGGAATATAGTGAGTGGTTGGCCTTTTGGGCTTTCGATGTGTGCAGTCAATCGTGTGGGTCCTTTCTCAGTTCCCCAGGTAATCCAGTTACGAAGTATATTCTAATGCTTGGAATGAGAACTTAAAGAAAGGCCGTCTACTTATCTGATGCAATGGCCATCAAGTTAATACCTAGGTGCATATTCAGTATAAGTTGGCATTTAGCGCGCTCTATTTTTATGTTTATTTCTTAAAAAATTGGTTGAATTTTGCTTCCGTCATTGGGCGGTGGGTATGATGTATGATATTTTTTAACAAGTCGTTAATGATTCTCTTTTTGCAGCTGGGGAAGGTTCATCCAGCTTTAAAAGATGGCCATGTAGGCGGAAGCTTTCAGCGGCATCAGATTAGGATTTTCAGTTTTAGAGTTTAGTGATTAGGTGAAGCTGTCGCTTTCGAAGTGTTATATAGTAGTGTCTGAGCTAAGCTTGTCTGCGGCGTAGGATTCAGAGATGCTGCAGCTTATCGTTTTGTATGGCTAAATGATTTAGTCCCACTTAGTTCATCGTCACTGTTCAGAACGAGCTTCTGAGCTTCTGCTGTTGGATTTTCAGTTTTTTATTTTTTTTCTCTGGATCAGGATCCTCCATGATCTTGTGCGTTTCAAATCCTAATGCACCTGCTGGAGTATCTAGATTTGTATTCTACAGAATCCCTGTTTTGAATTCAGGATTCATTGTTTAATTATAGCACTGTCGGACCTTCATGACATAGCATGTGCAAGGCTGGAGGCTTGCTATTTTTTTCCTACTCATAGACCTGCAGTCACATTTCGATTCGTGTAGTTAGACTCTTTCGCCTTTCGCTTTAAATGGTTCTGAAGACGGCATGTTTCAGAAACCCGTGTCATGACCAACGTCAAAAGTTCTCGAGGAAAATCATAAAAAGTGTACTAGACCCATGAGGCACTTCTGTTTGTCTTCAACTTTTGGAGGGTATTCACTGGTCGTTATTGGTCGAAGTTTCCAAATGGATTTGCAACATATCTTTTACTTGTCCCAGAGGTGTTTGAGCTCGGTGCTCTGGCCCTTACAACTGACTGGCACCCACTTTGTCCTGCTCTGAGATTGCAGCAACTGGGAAAAAGGAAAAAGGCTGTTATTACAATTTCGAACTGTAGACGATCCTTCAAGATTCCCCAGACATGTAAAAAGAGAATAAAAAAGTGCATCAAAGCGCGGTTTTAAGATGCCTGCCAGCATCCTGTCTACATTCTGCACATGCGTTAAACTTCATTGATGAGAATGGTCAAGTGGGTATTCCTTCAGTGAGATTTCTACCCCGCTAAATGCCGTAAATTGATTCATGGGTCACTTTAAAAAGGGAGAAGACAATTTTCAAGCATTACAAAAAGTTAGTCTTTTTCTTTTGTTGGAATTTAAATGTGTGAGAAAATGCATGCTTTGAAATTTTAAAAGTTGATTGTATGTCATTTTGAGAACTGTTCCTGATTTTATTATTGTATTTAAGGCTCTTTATAAAATTATGTATACCTCACTACAAAATTGTAATCTAGAAACACCAGGATCTCAAATCAAAGTCAACAAACCAAATTTCAATTCTGAATTAATATCTAAAAGCAAACATCAATATAGATAAATACATAACAGTATGTAAATTTTATGTTGAAAATATTATTTTTTATTTGAAAAACACTTGTAGAATTACAAAAGAACCAAAAGGAAATTGGATTGTGTTTTGTAGAAATTTTTTTAATCATTCTTTTTACAATACTTATAAAATAAATTATTTTGATGATTTTACATTCATTTTTTTAATATATATGTATATAGATATTATGTAAATTGTAATAAATCATAAATAAATCATACAACTTTAAAACAATTATAGCAACTACATATACATGTGTGACTTTTTTTAATGCTTATTTTAGAATCTAGTTTGGAATAATTTTAATATCATAATTTTTTATTTATAAAAAATAATCTAAATATTTTAATACAATCCTAGTTTAGAACTTAATATCTTCTCAAACAAATTAGGCGTTTTAATTTTTATAACTTAAGTAATCATTAAGTTGCCACTTATTTATTCACTTATCCAAAATTATAATTTTATTTTTATAATAAAAATTTTGTGCTCTAAATTCTTTTATTAATATTTCTATTTATTAATACTTGATACTAGCTTAGAATTGATTAACAATTTCTAAACTTAATTTCCAATAGTGAAAAGGTCATATTAAAATATTAGATTTAATCCAAGAAACATTGAATAGAAATTATAAAGTTGCAAAATAATTCTACTTGGGTTGTAACCAAAGAATATATTTCTCACATATTTACTTAATTGTATTAAAAATGCTCATTCTCCCATCATCTTTTTTTCGTCTTTTTAATATTTGAGTTTTTAAATAACCTTTATGGCACTACTATTTAATAATGTCTAATACTAGACTGATTTTAGTTGTTTTTTGAGGTCTTATTATTAATCCTTGTAATAAATAACAAAAATAAAAAATATACAGTAGACCAAAAGAAAGATTTTTTAGAATTTTGTAAGTTTAAAAAAAATTTCTACTCAAATAAAAGCTAAAAGTTGGATTAAACAAAAAAAATATAATTAAATAGAACAGTAAAATCATAAATATAAGAAGAATAGAGACTTTAACATATATGACAACTTAGATAAAATTCTACCATGCAAATGCATTATAATATTTTAATTTAAATATGCAAAAGAAAAAAAAAAAAAAAAAAAAAAAAAAACCTGAAGATCTATTGTAGAACGACATGTACAAACTTTTTACTAAAAGTACCAACTTCCTTACTTTTTTCTACAAAATGTACTAAAATCGAATGTATATTTACTTTAGACTTCAAATGGAATTAATAACTCTCAAATTCTTTTATATTTCTCTAAGCTATCTATCTTTTATAGCTAAATTTGACTACTACATTTTGTCCACATTACCACTCTCAATTGTATATAAGAACAAATAAAATAATTCAAAATATAAATAAAAAAATAGAATATATATATATATATATATATATATATATAACCTCTATTATAAAAACTATTAAGAATTATTAAGTCGATATGCAAGTTAGAATGTTATATTATAATCTTTCTTTGTGCAAGATCTTAAAACATGAATTTCTAAATAATGACACAAGTGGACACATTATATTAGAAGATTTTGCTAAGATTGTTAAAGTAGTACAAAAACTCAAAAAGCACATGAAAACAAAGAAGTAGTCAAAGTGTTCTACAAGCCAATTAAGGATCTACTATTTGAGTTTAAAACATAATTTTAACACATATGTCATGACTTTACAATATATCCTACCAAACTAGATAAGAAATTTTTTTGGCATTACTTACGGGCCTTGAAACTCCAAAGAAACCAAATGGAAAATATTTTATCTTCTTGTCTTTCTATTAAATGGAAAAATGTTTAGTTTAAATCCAAAGCACAAAAAGTAACCATGCTTATGTAGCTAATTTGATATAGAGAAGTCATTGTTAACATATAGAGAGCACAATCTAACTCAAACATTCCAAAATAATAATCTCTATGCATGTCTTATAAATAATGTTTTTTAAAAAAACCTATAAAATTCTAAAAATATACTTAAAAACAAGAAATCTTTACCTAAATTCAACTACTTAGATACAATTTAAATTTTCTTTAAAAGAATAAACTAATAAACCAAAGTTATACCTTATAGTCCAAATGTGCATGATGCAACAAGTCCCTAGAAATCAACATAATTTAAATTTACAAATATATTCTATACTTTATATTTTGCTGCTATATGATCATCCATGCATATAGGGAATAAGGCCTATTACACCTTACACCTAATGTTCTATAAATCTAAAGCATGAAGCACCCCCCCCCTTTTTCAGTGTCAAAATAAAAATAAATAATACCCGCTTTGACGATTTTTGGAGCCTATTGTGGAGCCCCCTCAACAAGGGTTGAAGCCACTTTTCCCTCCCCTTTACAATTGCGCCGCCCCCATCCCACTCTAGCCAAGCAAGCAAGCAAGCAATACAATGCCTGCAAGAATGGGTTCTTCGCTGATCAGCTTTGCTGTTTCGCGGTGCCTTGTTTGATGGTGATTTGCGTGGATGGAGATTCCCCAGCTGGTTTACTGTGCTGCTGCTGCGTGGATGGATTACTAAGTTGGGAAAACGGAGCTACTGCGTTTCTGGGGGCCACCAGTTTTGTCTTAGCAGGAGGAGGATGGCGCCAGCATGGCCGCTTCCATTATGTGCGGATTCGGTGCGCCACCTGTCACCCAAGGAACAGGTCTCGCGTCCTTGCAGTAATCGAGACACATTCCGCACGCTAGCATTCTGTTGACCCACTGTGGAATTTTTATATACCAAGCAGTTTGATCCGCGAAAGTAGGGGGAAAAGCTCAACCGGCAACTAGCAATCCGAGACGGGCATTGTTTCGCTTTTCATCTCAACGAAAGTGGGGTCCGCATGGTGGAAAATCTTCGGCCTCGTGTTGTTGATTGATTCAGACTGGCGACATTGGAAAATCGTGGCATTGGGTATTAAAATTTCTTCAGTATATCTTACAAGTGATCTAGTGAGTGGCGCAAGTCGATATTTAGGTGGAGAGGAGCTCCGAAATATCACGGGGTATATCGAGATGTGAGGATCAACGAACGCTTTTATCCCTCAAAACGATGTACACCCAGGCAGGGGTCTCGAGACAAGTTTTCTCCAGAGGGACGGCTCTTCCGCACCTGCGAAAAGGTGTACCATTACCTGCCATTCAACAACTCTGGCTGATCAAAGAGAGGTCAGTAGATGTTTTAACCCTCACAAGGTCACCTAACCGCTGTACTCACTCACTACCACCACCTGACACGGAATGGTACACCAAAAACTGTTTGTATATGCAAGATCTGCCGTTGCGTTTCCGAAGGCACAAGTGTAAGAGAGAGCTCCTAAGCCAATGCATGGAACGTGATAACCTGGTTGGTAATAGACAAAACCCTCTTTCGCAAAGTATGCCGAAAGAGTGGGTGTCAGAGAAAAAACCAAGATGCTCAAAGGGACATTTGGAACTCATCTACCTATCGCAGTGATTCGACATACCACACACTTTTTGAGGGCAAAACTGAAACGTGTTTTCAAACTTCTGAAGGTGAGTCAAACCTCACCCGAAGTGGTTAGCACAATGGCAAAGCATACAGAAATTGCTGACAGCATATACAGCGTTATGTACACATGAGATCCTCTTCGCTCTTGATCAGTAGCTGGTTTAAACTCCCTTTATCTGCTCTTTCCACTTAAATGGAACGGCAGTAAGGACACCACTAGAATAAAATAAAATAAAATAAAAAAATAAACGCTCACGAGCCATGGTTTTCCAATCCTCACACCAAAAACTGATACACCTCCAGTACACGCATCTCCTTGTACTTTCACAGGTGCCCAACCCCCTACGGTCGGAGTATCTCTAAAGCCATCACAAACACCATCGCAGAGGAGCTCTTTCAAGTCTCCATCCTGGAACAAACCAGCTCTCAGATTGACCTTTTTCCCGAATTCGCTACACAAGTTGTAAACTACCACCAAATCCCAACACACTCGATCACAACCGAAGCTCCGTATCGACATCTTCGTGCATCATTTCATAGTCGCCTTCGCTAGACTTATACGTGTCGTTGAACAGCAAACTTCTCGTCACGAACTCGACCTCCGTTGCGGGGTTTAAGTTAGAGCTTGGCCGCGTGAATGTACTGAAAGCTGACTTCGAGCTCTGAGGCAACATGTGAAAGTTGTTACTGAATGTAATCTGCACAAGCATTCTAACCATGTCAGACGGAGAATTTTTATAAACAATACAGCTCCACATATACGTCACCATCAACGACAGATTTTAATCCTTTCAAAAATCAAAGGAGCAAATATTGACCTGGGAACTTGGTACAGATCCACCAGATGTTCGACAAATCAGAGAGGAAAGCCGCCCGGAAAAGTTGTCCACGGTTTTTTCCGAGTCATCGCCGTGATGCTCAGCTACGTTCATGATCTCCACAGACTGCCCGCCCGTCTTATCACATCTCGATGAAACCATCGCGGGGCCTGACATTCCCATCTCAGAGGCAGGTACTCCATTTAGCTCAAAGCCGCTGAATGGTTGCGCCTGCGGCACCACAAACTCTGCCACCCGCTGATGCTGCTGCATGGGTTGCTGATAACTCACCATCTTCGGCTGTTGAGGCTGAAATGCCACCGGTTGTGGTTGTTGAAATGGCTGCGACATGTAAAAGCGAGGCGAATTGGTCCCAACTTCGTAGCTTGGAGCCGCAGCATTGCCCACACTCCACCCTGCACCGCCAATATTCGCCCTGCCATCCTGACTAGCCTGCCAGTTCGCCTCTGTCTTGGAGCCGTAAAATTGCTCCGGAGCCTCCTCCATACTCACATGCTGGTATTGGGGCTGCTGATGGTGATGTTGATTCTGGTAGGGATAGAATCGCCCATTCGAGTAGGCAGAATGCCGTGAATCAGAATATACGGCTGAAGACACCGGAGGTGCTACAGAAGATTGCGCCATCGAAATGCTCTGCTGCTGAGCAGCCACTGGCCATGCCAAGGGATACATCTGCGATTGCATTTGGGGCGGTTGACTAGAAGACTTCTGGATCTCAGCTCTGTACCGCTCATACTGTGCAAACTTATTCACCAGTGCAATCGAAGATGGCTCATTGGGCAGTTCTTCTCTCATAACCTGGTCCTGCGTTTGCTGATGTTGGTGTTGTTGTTGTTGAGCGGCAGCGGCTGAGAATAATCGAGGACTCCATTCGGCCTGCTCCTGCTCGCCCACACCGTAACCCTGATCTTGGTCACCTCTGTTGTAAGCGTGTCTCAACTGGTCGAGCGTGGCAAGCGGCTGCTGGGACTGCTGTTTCGGCTTGGGACCCATACCTGCTAGAAAATTGGCAACTCGGTCAGAAACCTCTCGCTGCACAATCCACCGTATACATTCTCCGCTTTCATGCACGGAGAAGAGAGCAACAAAATGACACCAGAGGAAGGTGGAAATAATCTTAAGAGCATTCATCCAGCTGACCTGTGCTTCTCATGTTGTTCAGCAGCTGCGCTTGCAACATGATCTGGTGGGACAAGTCACTGTTCAACGGAACCTGGCTCTGGAGGAAGAGATGGTCGAAGTTCAGGGGCGTAGTTGGACTCCCGATGTGACCGTAAGGACTGTGAGACCTGCTCTTGTTCGCCAGGTGACGCTGATCAAAATCGTTCATCATAACCACATCCATCCCTGCACGAGACAAACGACACCGCTGGTGAGAATTGTGAGCCAAGGCAGCAGGAAGCAACTCTTTCGCGAACTAAATGTCCCTACGAAGTCCCACTCAAGTGAACCTGACACCAGCCCCCGGATACTCAAGAATGTAGGTATGATAAGAGGACTCAAGACTCAAATGCTGTAGGTGGCGAATTGATTCTCTACGTAAATAATGTGATGACCAGCCCACAGTGCAAGACAAGGTGGAAGTACTGGATTTCGGGATATGATGAGCCACATGAGCAATCACGAAGAATCTGTCCGTATAGAAAGATAAACTACTCGACATGATCACCTTTGGCACTCGATTTGGTGGTTACAGCAGTCGGCGAATTCCGGGTTACAAGCGTTCCGGGATTAATAGTCATCTTCCCTCCAGATCGCAATATCCTTGTAGCTGCGGACAGCCTCTTACGCAGGCAACTCAAAGGTTTCTGACTTGGTGTTAAGAGCTTCTCCAGTCCTCCCGTGGATTACACAGTATTTTAAGGAGAGCAACCTGCGGTCACCGCAAGGTAAAACGAGTCGTCATTTCGCCGCACATCTACCGCTCTGTAAGGTCGGTTATGTATTTCCAACTACTACCGCTTTCATCGAAGTTGACGCGAGGTGATTGCTACGGGACCTTACTCGGTGGACAAGGTCGTAGTATACGCAAATTAGTGTAGTGTGTCTTGACGAAGCTCTCAGTATGTGGGATGTTCTGCAGGAGAGATATGATCTCTTCCTCCAGCGCCAATTCTAACCGCTCGCTGCACCACTTGAGCGCGCAAGCCACAGTAACTCACTTGAAACAGCGGGCACGTTTCTCTAAGTGATTGCTTCTCTTTCCAGAAGGAGACATAATTGTTCCAGAATTCATACTAATGACGATTCACCTATTCACGATAGGTAAGTTCCGACATTCTAAACCAAATTCTTGCGCGAAGCATCCAATTGCTCAAGTCAGGAAACTCAGATGATTCCGGAATGATAGATCTCTTTTCCAGAGGCACTCGAAGTTGTGAGACTTAGAACCAGCTGGATTTCAAGCGTGGAAGAGAGACTTGTCTTCGGATCTGATGGGAAAAAAACGCCAGTCTGTGCAGATTCTAGCATCACCCAAGGATAGAACTCCAGAGAAGCTGTATAGTAATTTTGCAACCTGCGAAAGCTCCGCTCCATAGACAACACTCGAGAGTACTCAGAGGGGATAACAATCCACAGAAGAGAAGGACTGGGCTAATGCGTCGAGGATGTTGTACACATTGGGGGCCCAAATGAACCAAAATTAACAGGTCTGTTCCTACAGCGTTGTAAGAAAATCTTCCACAACATCCCAACCTTGGTCAAACGAGAACCGGGATGTGACGCACAACTCGAAGCACGAAACTACGCTCTACCCCAATCTGTTGGGCAGACGATCTCAGCAAACATAGTGATCGCTAGCAACGAGAAACTTAAACGACAAGATGCTCTGTAAATCGGGGGACAGATGGACACGCTGCTACGGAAAAAGTCACGAGGAACGAAGCGATTCGGACCGATCTGAGGTTTCCTGCGATTCTGGGGGATGCTTTCAGCGAGCACTGAAACTGCGACACACCGCTACTCTCAGCTTCATTCTCTCAATGGGAAACTCCATCCTGATCTCCAATCTCCAAGTATCTGCTGGTGCGCACACTTCACACTACCAATACAATCATCCGCTGCCGTATACGATGTTCTACCAATCCAAATGTGTTGACCCCTTTCACAAGGACCTGTTCAGCGTATTTGGCACAGAACACTCACTTCCGCACCTACTCACCACCGCCAAATCTCACAGCTCCCAAACCGCGCTCACTCAACAATCCAGGCAGGCACAGATCTGGGCGGCGAGCCTCGCTAGCTCCTCTTCAGACACGAGTCCAAGTCCACTCACATATCTTTCTCCCAAAAAAGCAAGCGGATGTATCAAAGAAGGACACCACGATAGCCAATCCACCAAGATGACGACGACGTGTTCAGCCTTTTGAGAAGGCTCCAGCACTGCACCGACCAACAATGAACGCAAAGCACCCGTTCGAATACAGCCAACCAAATCTATCTCGCAAACACTCCCAAACGCCACCGGCTCCACAAAAACACCATGCAATGTGCGTGGGGAAAAGAAAGAAAGAAAGAAAGAAAGAAAGAAAGGAAAAAAAAAACACACGCACAATGGTCTGAGTCCAAGCAGGTCGCCCTGTTTCACCAAAGCTCTAGCAAATGGAAAGTCAGCAACTCACTAGCTAGCGATCCGCGCACCAGAGAAGCCGGGAGGCATCGAGGAGCGGAGCGGGGAGGAAAGAAGAGGATAGAGGAGGAGGAGAAAGAAGAGAATAGCAATAGGGGCACTGCAAAGGCACGACATTGAGATGTGGGCAAACGCTGGCAGAGGCTGCTGCTGGCTTTGCCTGCCTGACTGCCTGCCTGCCTGCCTACCTGCCTGCGTGCTTGTTGAGGGGGAGTAATAGAAAAGTCGACTACTGACCGGAAAAGCATTGTGGATAGTCTAAGTCGTCCGTCAGTTCCTGGCATGGGCCGGACACGACAAACGCGGGCTTGCAATAAAGAACTCCTGGTTTGTCGTATGGGGCCGGGCCCCGCCCTCTGCATCACTTTCCTTTCTTTTCGCACCTCTCTCTCTGTGCCACGCCCCTTTTGCACTCCCCCCTCCCCTTCATCGCCACCACCACGTCCACCACCACCGTCGTCGGCTTTACTGCCAGTCCAGCATAAACAATAACCCCGTCCTCCCGGATTCATAACTCGGATCCCATTAGCGCATTTCATGCCACATCGTTTACACGGGATTCTCACATGCACTCACTCTCACATAATCTTTTTGTTACATGGCAGAGGGTGGTGCACTCCTGTTTTATCAGTGTGTTATTTTCCTGTGTTTTCCCCCATGAGCATACAGTTGTTTCGTGTGAAAAAACTGGTGTGAAAACCCACTTACAATGATATCACATGAAGCACAGTAATGTCTGTTAGCTGACCAACAGGGAGACCACCACACAAACGTAGCTCTTGTCTTCAGAGCCTACTTCATCATCATCATCATCCCTGAGCTAACTCTATGTCCGCTACTATTATAATAGTAATAATATTATTAATACTATTATTCTTATTGGTATGGTTATTATGAAGAAGAAGAATAACAATCTATTACCAATACCGCCCGTCTCGAGATCGTAACCGATCTGCATCTGTGTTGGGTCAAATTCCTGTCAAGAAATTAATGTCGCATTGATGTTGCACTTTCCTTTGTGTTATTGAGTTGGTATTGTTCAACTAAAACCCATTCCTTCATTTACACCCACCTTAGTAGTAGGGCTGGAGGTGACAATGAAGTGGAATTTAGGTTTTACTGTGGGCAGCCTGCCCGGAGTGAAATAGTGTGGTTCAAGGACATGAAGTGAAGTGGGTATGTGCTGAGTTTGGGTGGGGAACGGTTGGGAACAATAGCAGTGGCAGCAACGAATTTACATAATTAGACAAAAATGTTTTTATTTTTACTTTTTAATATGAGGTTATCCCTTTATGGGTCCCCCCTTTCCATGGAGGTGGAAGCACGAGGGGTGATTGTAGAAGTGAGCTCATTGGATGGATATAAATATATTTTCATCACCTATTGTTGACAAAATTATTCTTCGTTGTTCCCTGTTTCTAGATTAATTTTTATTCTAATTTTTGTGTGTTTTCTTTTTCTTTTTCTTTTAGAAACCATGAAACGCAGATACAATTTTTATAAGGTTTACAAATGCATAAATTGATGAACTTTGAAGAGGCAATGGCTAAATTCCTCTAATTAGATATATTCAATTAGAGGTTGTTGAACCCACTTCATTACTTCCTTTCCATCACATATATATATATATATATATATATATGTGTATGTACTATTTCTAAATGCAAGACTCTGGAGCCCCACAATTGGATAGGTTGCTTTAAATATAGGGTGGAAATAACTTTGCTTGTTGTCTCTCAACTCCATGACCAATCTATGATATTTGACATTGACACTCACATGGAGTTTTATTACATGGACAATCAATCTCATGTACTCTCTGGAGATAAAGATGTATCCCCACACTATGGTAATAAACTAACTGTAGATAAGTTTTTGTTTTCTTTTTATTTCTCTTCTTCTTCTTCTTCTTCTTCAGTTGAAGAGATTTCCAAGAATAGTTTTGAAACAAAACTTTTGTGGGTTTCAAACACAGTCAAGGCTCTTCACCATGTCTAGAAATATTAAGCATCAGAAAATTATTGTGAAAATAAAAATAAAGCCACTTTTCATTGAAAAATGTATGCCTCTATGTTGGTTCAGCAGTACCATGGGAAAATTGCACTATGTGCTTTCAAAAATAGAGAACACATTACAAATACCAATTGCATGACAGTTTTACACAAATTACATAAAACAAATTGCTAGTAGAGTTGTTTGTAATAATTGAACTCAACATAGTGACATTTACACATAAATCACGTAACTTTGTATGGCATCAAACAAACAAACACACAAAACGAGCTGAATTATTCAACATTAAAAATACGCAAGGTCATGAATCTCAAAAAATGTTGAGATGTACTTTCGACCGTCATTAGAAACGTAATATTATTTTTTTGAGGTTTATTTTCAAAGCTCGAAGAATAGAGTTTGAACTGGGAGTTCGATGGTTTGCATGCTTAAAATTAGCTGCTACTGCAGGTCAGGATATAGCAAATATTGCATTGCCTTATCAGGGCAGCAAACGAAATAGAAGATTTGTGGGTGTGGCCATCGCCGCCCGCAGACTGCAAAACTTGCCTCCCGCGGCGAAGATCACCGTAAGATGAGTTCCTTATCTCTCAGTCTCACTTGCCCCCGTCCCGCAAAACCCCAAGAGGGGAATCCCAAGAGCATGGATGATGATAACGTTGCAGGAAAGCTTACAGTGGACTGATCGATAGACTGCCATGGCGACGGAGGGTAAAGAATTCAAGGCAAGGTAGGCGGTGATCGCACACCAGACAGCAGCTACAAAGGAGGGAAAGCGGGAGAAGTATTGTGCCTAATTTGGTGTGGATCCGGCAGGGCCCCACAAACCAACCCCCGCGCGCGAAGAGGTGCGGAGCTGGAACGCATTTAGACAAGCACATGGTTTCCGGTAGGGACCCACCACCATGGTCACCCTGTCGTCTTTCTCTCTTTCACAATCTCACAATCTCTTGCCAGCACCTAAAAGGCGCAACCAGCCAATGGCTTGTGCGAAAGAGTGGGGAGCAGCCACCAAACGAGACCTTGTTGTCAGGGATTTGTGCCACGCGGAGACTGAGATCAGTCCCACGCACACACACTCACAGACCTACACACTTATCTGGCAGGGCAAATAGTCCCCCTCCCACTCTCCCTCCGTGATGGTAGTGTTTTCGCGTTGTGTTTGTTTTGATGTTTGTCACCCATTCCGGCCTGATTCCATCCCATTTGTATTGACAAAAACATGAATGAATCGGTCCAATCTGGGCTTGTCTTTTTACCTATTGACAAAATTTGACTAGACGCGAGTTGCTTGTGTGCAAGTTCCTGGTAGTTCGGAATTGGCAAGCCATCGAACTTCATCCAACTTGCATTTATAATTGTTTTGTTGTTGTCGTCGTTGTGTATGTATATGTGGACATACATCCATATTGTGCGATGATATACATAAAAAACCTATGTCTAGGTGAATCAGTTTGGTTACGAAAGTAATTGTTTGACAGTATTCATGTTACTGCACACACATGAACACGTGAGTGAGTGCGTATGTTTATTTATTTATTTATTTATTTTTAAATCTAATTCGCATCTACAGAAATACTGATTAAAACTATTTTAAAGTCTTTTCTTGTTTAACTAGAGAAATTTAGTACGTGAAGAAGACATTCTCCCTAACCATATGAAAGTGTTAAGGTAGCAAACTAGCGTAACACTTTAGAATATGCAGCAACAAAACTTAATATGATTGTAGATATAATTGAATTTGTTCCCACTCGCATTCAGGTTCATACGTGATATATTCTACATCAAATTGTGAGACCTCTGTCAGCACTCACGTTTCAATTTCAAAGAGGCTCGCCTCTGAAAATGAATATATATACAAATGGATTTAATGTGCCTCCGACAGATTATAAAAAAAGCATATAGGTTAATGTTTAATCATCTAATTCAACAGCATTTTTTGTAATATATTCTGAAGTACCAAATAACTACTAATCAACAAAATAATAAATAATAAAAATAAATCAATCAATCAATAAAATTCATTTTTAGATTTTAATATTTTCTCTTTTTTTATATTATTAATTTGGATATTTCCTGATGAAGAAATTAAATCACATGGAATTCATCTCAGAACTGATATTGAAGTTATGCAATTTGTTGTTATTTTACTAATATTTCTTAGATATTTGATTGATTCTTAAAAGAATCAGGTTGCTATTTGGCAAATAGGAATAAACAATTGGAATCTATAAATGCTCAATTGACAAAACATATAGTGTGGTATGTCTTTTAAGACTGTTAGATTGCATTCAAAAAATTGTTTACTAAATGTGCAATGAGCGAAACATTGAACAGAACACAAAAATAGAATGCAAACCAAAAATCAAGTAACAAAACAAAACAAATAACAGAGGAATAAAAGCATCTCTCATAAAAATCATAAACAAATAACATTATATTTCAAATTGGTTGTAACTTTTGATTGTTGTGAGCATCAACTATCTGTTGTATGCTCCCTTGATAAACTTCTACAACAACTAGTATATTTCTTAGATAAATATGTAAATAACCAAAAGCCAAGGTATAACCCATTTGCCACCTCTGGTATGTGAAGTTGAATTAAAACAATTATTTAAGAATTTGACACAAGGATTTCATGAAAAGTATACCCATTATTCAGCAAGTATGTTACTTCCACAGAATGTCAAATAGCATGTCAAAATTTATGCAAATGTCAAAGGTACATCAATTATATACATCAATATGCAATTTTAAATAAAAATAATACTAAAGCCAATCCAGGCAACCACTTTCTTGGAATGCTACATTCCCAAGCATTTGAATTAGACAAAATTAGTAATAAATATAACTTGCTAGATTTTGTATCTTAGAAAGATAATGATTTTTGTAATGTTTAAACAG